TAGGGGGCCGCAGGGGAGGACGGCATTGGGCTAGGGGGCCGCAGGGGAGGACGGCGTTAGGCTAGGGGGGCCGCAGGGGAGGACAGCGTTAGGCTAGGGGGCCGCAGGGGAGGACGGCGTTGGGCTAGGGGGCCGCAGGGGAGGACAGCGTTGGGCTAGGGGGCCGCAGGGGAGGACGGCGTTAGGCTAGGGGGCCGCAGGGGAGGACGGCGTTAGGCTAGGGGGCCGCAGGGGAGAACGGCGTTGGGCTAGGGGGCCGCACGGGAGGATGGCGTTAGGCTTGGGGGCCGCAGGGGAGGACGGCGTTGGGCTAGGGGGCCCCAGGGGAGGACGGCGTTGGGATAGGGGGGCGCAGGGGAGGACAGCGTTGGGCTGGGGGGCCGCAGGGGAGGGCAGCATTGGGCTAGGGGGGCGCAGGGGAGGACAGCGTTAGGCTAGGGGGCCGCAGGGGAGGACGGCGTTGGGCTAGGGGGCCGCAGGGGAGGACAGCGTTGGGCTAGGGGGCCGCAGGGGAGGACGGCGTTAGGCTAGGGGGCCGCAGGGGAGGACGGCGTTAGGCTAGGGGGCCGCAGGGGAGAACGGCGTTGGGCTAGGGGGCCGCACGGGAGGATGGCGTTAGGCTTGGGGGCCGCAGGGGAGGACGGCGTTGGGCTAGGGGGCCCCAGGGGAGGACGGCGTTGGGATAGGGGGGCGCAGGGGAGGACAGCGTTGGGCTGGGGGGCCGCAGGGGAGGGCAGCATTGGGCTAGGGGGGCGCAGGGGAGGACAGCGTTAGGCTAGGGGGCCGCAGGGGAGGACGGCGTTAGGCTAGGGGGGCGCTGGGGAGGACAGCAGTGGGCTGGGGGGCCACAGGGGAGGGCAGCATTGGGCTAGGGGGGCGCAGGGGTGGACGGCGTTGGGCTAGGGGGCCGCACGGGAAGGACGGCGTTAGGCTAGGGGGCCGCAGGGGAGGGCGGCGTTGGGCTAAGGGGGGAAAGACGAACCACAAACGAGTGAAGCTGCTGCCAGGGCAAGAGTGTACCAGACGTAGAACTGACCGAAAGGCGTCCGTGAAGACCGCGACCTCGGGATGACGAAGTGAAGATGATGTCGGAAAAACACACTACCTACCTAAGCCGCCAGGACTACAAAAGCAGTAATTCAAAGCCGTAAGGAAGTAGGTGTAGGAAAGTCAAGGCGGCAGAGAAGTAGTAAAACACTGGTGTCGTAAAGCTGGAATAAAGTTTGGGCAAAATTTGTTTGTTTCCATAATTTATGATTTATATCCGTGGTGTTTTATTGACACACTACGTAGCAAATTCGCTTTTGCGGTGGAGTTGTAAAAGTGGTGCTGCGTTGTGATTTTGTTCGCGGGTTGTTGGGATGGTTGTACGAGCCGTTGTTTGATCCGTTTGCAGTGCCGCTCGTGACATTCTTTGTGCTGTACTCCAAAATATATCGCGGATGGCGCATTTGATATGCAGTGTTTCTTGATAATGAAACCGCTTGGGATTTGTTTGGCAAGATGACGTCGTTTGTCGTACGTTCGACGGGAAGGGTCTGGCCCACGTTATCGATCGCTTGCGAGATGTTCCACAACCACGAACAAACAATTATAGCTTGACAACAATTATATGCATTCAAAGATCTTTTCGTAGATATCTGATACATAGCAGGTGTGGTGGATTTCGCCGCCGCATCGGACAAACCGCGCGCTGTGCCTTTTAGAAGACCTGGCACTCAGCGCAACATTTATGTGTAGCTATTACAGAGGTTAAGAAAATAGCTTAAGAGTTCAGAAGCGCGGAAAAGATGGAGTATTCCAGTGCAGCGCCGCCTCTCGTGGCCAGTAAGTCGTGGCTAGTAGAGATCGTCCAAAAGGATATTCTGTGTGCGCGCGTACCATCGAATTGAGTGAATCTCTCACTCCCTGTATGCAACTGTATCATACTCCGCACAGGGCGATATGTTTTGAAAAGAGCTGCCGGGCTTGGTGCGGATGCATCGCGTTGCCATCACGGTGCAGCAGTTGTCCGCCCCTCCGTGTGTAGCGCCATCGGTAAGTGTTATGGTCGGGGTTTTTAAGAGCATAATAGGCAAAAAGAGCCTGCAGGCAGCGTGTTTTTGTCGGAGAGATGTGTATAGTATTTTCTGCCGCGCACGTCGTTGTAGTATATGTGGCTTTCCCTCTCACGCACACATCACAGGCACACGCACAATAACAATAATAATAATAATAATAATAATAATAATAATAATAATAATAATAATAATAATAATAATAATAATCGTAGATTCG